AAATACTTTATTTTAAACCCTATTCTTGGGTGCATTAAGGATCGTATATAATTAGAACGAGTAGTCATCTTTAACTATTAAACGACAAATCACACGGCTTGAAATCTAATAGCGAGTGATTATGACCTTGTTGCCAATAATACAGGTATATGATGGTAAAAAAAAAAAAGCAAAAAAAAAGAAAAAAAAGAAGCTCATAGCGAGGGTGACAATGGACCCGAGACCCGACGGATATGAGTATGGGTCCAATTTTTAGACCCAACAGATCAAGTCCGGGTCCAAAACCTAGACCCGAATCTATTCGAGTCTGAGTTCAGGTTCGGACCCGACCCATTGCCACCCCTAATAGAGAGAAATTGAGCGAGAGATTGCCCTAAGCCTTCCTTTTCTCATCCATAAGGGCACGTGAAGATGTTTCTTTATTATTTATGAAGTTAAGTATTACAACGTTTTTTAATTTTCTTTGCTGATCCTAGGGCCAAGAATAATAATAATAATAAATAATAAATGTAAAAGAAGAAAAAAAGTAGGGCTCGTTGTTAGCGAATGTCTATCTGTTATCATCCCTTTTTATTTGTTTCTTAGTCCATAAGACCGCCGGAATGAATAAATGAATGTGAAGAGGACATTCAAAATAAATAGATAAGGGAAAATGGTTTGATAGGGCTGCAACCCTATCAAAATAAATAAATCCTCACTTTGTAAATCATAAAAAATTGTAGATCAAGCACTAGAAATCCTGACTTTATATTGATCATCTCGGTTTGAACATTATTGTTGTGAAGAAAAAATAAGATTTCAAGTTTTAAAAATAGTGTATATTGTAACAAATTATCCAAGTCATCCATTTCGCTTGAATAAAGGTTCATAGATCCCCAAAAACTATATATTTTTTTAGTTTCAAAACTTATCGTCAACGTTGAAAATTGATTTTAGAGCTATTATGCATGCTTTCGTTATTGAAAGTACTTTCCAAACGAAGATATGTTGTGAATCTTTACTTTGTTTCCATTGCGCCTATGCTTTATGGAAACTTCCTCTATAAGTAAATGAATCTAAAGGGGAAGTAGAAAACTAGTTTAAAAGTTAGGGAATATAAAATTATCAAACATGTATGAAATGTCACTTAGGAAAAAGTTTATATAGACTTGAGGTTCTAAACAATTAAATTAGAACGCACATAAAAAACTTTACTAGAAGAGGATCTTTTGATATCTAAATATTCTAAAATTGATCATCTCGACATTAAGATGTATGGACATTAAAAAAAAAATGAATTTCAAGTTTTGAAAACAGTGCATCTTGTAACACAGTTTTGGACTGTAAATTTTTAAAATTTTTAAATTTTTATAGATTTGCTCCATCTACAATATTTTTGGAACGTTAAATTTTATAATTAAATATAAAAATATATAAATTTGATAATTAAACATAAAAATATATTTTAAAACTATCACAAAGTATTTGAGTATTGAAACCACTCGAAGCTATTTGAATATGCGCTTTGTTTGGAGCCTAGGCACTATACAAACCGTACCTACCCAAGGAGGAAATAGAAAACTTTAATTTGAAAGTTAGGAAATAGAAAATTATCAAACATGTGAATGAAGTGTCAGTTTGGGTCCCACTGCTTGCACCGCATAACATGTGTACGAAGTGTCAGTTTGGGTCCCATAGCTTGCACCCTAGAAGGACCAGATTATTTACATGTGAAGGGGCATTTTTGTCATTTCAGCAAATCATGGGATTCGATACCGTATGCCCTCCTTCGGTGCCTTTTGTCCTTGGTGCCCCTCAACATCAAAGAAGCTAATATTGGTCCAAAAAAAAAAGAAAAAGAAAATTCAAACAAAGCGAATCCAGGTACCTCCTCCAAGTAAGGGAATTTCGGTTTTGCCGAAATGTTAAGTGAATTCCATTTCAAAATTTTTATTTTTCAGGTGATATCTCTTTTCATAACAATGTTTAAGTCAAAATATGGAAACTTTGTTTTCTTATTGTAATAACTTTGGACAAAGTTTATGTAAGGTTCTGACCTCGTACAATAGAGGTAAGGCGCTCCTAAAAAATCTTTAATAAAGAGTGTTTCGAAGTTGGAAATCTTCAAATTGATTTTTTGGATGTGTGTATGTATAAAAAGAGCTTCAAGTTCTATAAATAATACATCTTTTTCCAAGTTATATGGATCGCTCATTTTCAAAATTTTCAAATGTTTATCGATCTACTTGATATGCACCATTTTAAAAAATTTAAATTTTACAATTTAGTCAAAATTTTAAATTTCATAATTTAGGCAGAACATAGATTTTTCCACTGCAATGTTTTAGAAATTACATCTGCTAGCAACATTTAGAGGTGAACCTTACTTATATAGTTTAAAGTGGGCACCTTATGCGAACCTATAACGTTTTTGGGGTGGCAATGGGCTCGTCCGGCTTGGTTGGCCTTGCCCAGAAAACAAATTTGTGTTTAAATTGTAAGGGTACTAGAAAATAAAGATCATCCTTTTCAAGCTCGTGATCGATTAGACCGCCTAGCCTTGTTGAGACAGAGCGAGGACTTCGGCCTGGTCTGAGTTTAGGCAGAGCTCGCCACAGTCCTATAGGGGCTAGGACCCGACTAGGGCTAGTTTCTTCACAATAATAACATAGATTGCCTATAAAAGCCAAACGATTATATGTTCATGTGGGAGCACATTCTATTCACTACTTCCGATACAGCCTTTGCAAGGAGCAATGGCGTGTTTGATTTTAGAAGACGTGGATTTGAAAACTGCATCTTCCAAAGGCAGTGGATACCCTGAGTTTCGTAGTCCCAAAAAAAAAAAAACCTAATATTATGTACATTCGATACACAATGATCAAACATAGCATTTAGGAATTCGAGATTTATTTTCCTTTTATGAAAAAACCCGTGCAGTTTATTCCAAGACTTAGAGATTGAGAACATCCTCCTGTGCGGGTCATTTGCTTGAGGTTGTTATGTCCAGTGTGGTCCCAATGGAGCACGCAGTACCAGCTCCTCTATATTTGGCTAGACCAATCCGTTAATTAGCTACTCCCCATAATTCTCCCATCAGGTAAGTAATTGCTTTCCTCCGTTAAAAAAGTGTATAGCTCAACCTAAATTTAATGTCAATCGGTTAGTTTAAACTTAAACCTTCAAATAGGACTGATTCTCCTAACTTTAAAGTAGTTGTGTGCACTTCTCAGGGTGG